TTAAAGATGGGGACCACGTTGGCTATCTTCCAGTCATCTGGCACCTGGCCCGAGCACCACGAGTGCTCATAAAGCCGTGCCAAGGGCCCTGCAATAACCCCTGCTAGCTCCCTCAACACCCTGGCATGGAGAGCATCTGGACCTGCTGATTTGAACATGTCCAGCCCCTCCAGAAGCTCTCTAACCTGGTCCTCCCCAATCTGAGGTCTGGAGGCGTTCCCCTCGAGTCTGCCTTGCATCATGGTGGAGAAGTCCCGGTCCTTGCCCAGGAAAACAGAGGTGAAGAATTGGTTAAAAATTGGATGCACGACTCCCAGCTGCCACCCCTCTCCCACCTCCAAGGAATGATAGGGCCCAGGTTTCCTGGCTCTTAACCCTGCTCACTAGACCTCTGGTGGCAAGTCGGAGTTGTGCAGGCAAGAAACAGTATTAACCTATTAAGCCCTTACTGTGCAACTGCTAGCAGCACATTTTAACTTTACCACCAGTTAACACTCCACAGATTTAGTATGGTCTACATGTAATGTGTAACTTCCCCCTTAATTTTTGCAGTTCTAGAAGGGTCTCACTACAACATCTCACTACTTTACAGCTTTTAGTGACTCGGAAATAGTTGCTGACACTTCTATTGGTCACACTCCTTCTTTTTAGGGACTTGAGCAAGGAGATGTCTGGGTTAGTTTATAGTGGAAAGTTTGTACTTTTTAACCCAATGTCTTCTTAGCAGTGCAAAATCAGTTTGTCGTTAGAAGCTGCAATTTGTTTTGCTTGCTAGCCTTGCTTTGTTCCTAAACTACAGACACCACATGGAGATGAAACAATTCTACTGAATTTGAAAAGAATAGGATTTAGTTTACATTGGGTCGTGCTTGGATGACCGCTGCTTATTTTTTCTGTTGGTAAAATTAAAGAAGATATTTGAAGAGGCAGAATCAGAACTAACAAACATTGTTTGTTAATTTCAGAAGGGTCCTTTTCTAAAAGGTATTTTTAAAATCTATTGTGAGTTTTAGTTGAATTCCTGTCTAGAAGATGGTCTAGTTGGCCACTGCTCCCCTGCTGCCAAATGTTCAGACCCATGGGAAGCTCCGCAGGCTGGATAGGGTAGTGAAGCCTCATCCTGCTGCACAGGGCTGGGAGGAGGCAGTGTGCAGCCCCAGGGTCCAATCTCTGTTTACATGGCCCGATTCCAGTATGCAGAGCCAGCACAGGGTCCCAGGGCTCAATCCAGGTACATGGGACCAGGTGGGGGCATGCAGGGACCAGGCCCCAATCCTGGAGCACGCGCCAGCCGAGGGCATGTGGAGCCCAGCTGGAGACCGTGCAGGGCCCAATCCAATATGGGCCCCCTAACGAGCCCTGTGCCATTCATTTGGACTGCAGGACTGAAAAATTGAGCACCATTTCTTTTAGTTATCATTAAATGTTTGTACATTTTTTGCTATTTACATGGAAACTTTTAAAATACCTATAAGCCTTCCCTCCATCCTGTGAAATGATCTTAGTGTAAAATAAGGGGAAGAGGATTATTGTTCCAGTCTTTGTTCGACCCTGGAGGGTTAAGTTTAGATGGAAACCTAAAGAAGTATGATGCAAGTGACTCTCATTGTTTCCAGGAGTTGCTTATATCTTGCTGGAAGAAAATCAAGCCCTTTATCTGACTAAGTATTCTCATGTAATTGTTAAGAAGTCATTTTAAAAATGTGTGCACTATTATATACTACACTATTCCACCCAAAATAAAGTAGATCTAAGAAAGAGAGAAGTGTACTATCATTGGCAGTACGAACCAGGGTTATATTTTAAGTAATGTATTCAGCACAGTACTAAAGATCTTAAAATAATGAATGCAAAATACATCTGCTACTTCCCAGTGGTTAGGCACCAGAATTGCCCCTTTTATAAGTACTAACCTGAAGTCATAACTAAAATCTCACTCTGGGTGAATAGTTTGGAATCTGATGCTTTTATATTCATAAAGCTGTATTTTGTGTATACTTTTATGGTTGCACTTGATAATTAGGAAAGAACTCTTCTAGAGTTGCAGAAAGAATAAAATGCACTTTCCTACAATACTTATTCCTGCAAAGGACCATAAATTGAAATTTCTAAAGGCAGTTTCCTGCCACTCTCTGTATTCCCATGCACATTTAACCATTAAAGCATATTTATGGCCCAGATTATCAGAGTTGTCTCAAAAACACTATGTGGAAACCCAATAAACTTTTATTGAAATCAAGGGGAATTAGATCAAGATGTATCCATTGAAAAAGTGAGAGGTATTGACGAAACTTCTGTGAAATCATGACAATCATGCTGGTAACCAAAACAGCAGCAAATGGCTACTCTCATAACCAGTGCTACACATAGCCAGAGATATTTTAAAGTATATTTCAAAAGCAGGCAACCTAACATTGCAAGCAGGAAGGGGATGCTTTTCAAACAAGGCTTGTACTTTTCCCTGTTAACAAATGCTAGCATAGGAACTCTGTATCCAAGCATATCTAGAAGAAACACTGATTATAAATAAAAGAAATAGCCATGTTCAGAATTAACAGCCCATTTTCTGCTTGTGCCACATGGAGCATACCAGCTGTGCTCAAAATAACAAATTCAGTATAGTACCCCAGCTTGGATACTGGATGAAACTGTCTAGAAAATTGCAATTGATTAGAAGGATAAATAGCACCAACTAAGTTCCTGTGCTGACCGGGACTTTGACAGTTCCACCCACCATCAAACTGACTCTGGAATAGTTTTCCTAGCAAATTCATTTTTTGCACATAACCATGAACATTTTCTGTGGCCACATTACCACCACATTACATTGGAAACCAACAGACTTCTACAGCTATCTCCATACCAGCAGCTCTCATCCTAAGCATACCACTGGATTCACCATCTACAGCTGAGCTCTGCATTACAAGTGTATCTACTTTGATCCCACTGACCAGGATGCACACCTTTAAGGATCTGGAGTAGGGATTCCTATAATTGTAATACAATTCTAAAACTGCAGCCACTCAAATCAATAGTCTCAGATTCAGGCCCTCCTCCAACCAGTTACTATACCAGCCCTGAGACAAGAACAAGAGAATCCCTTTTGGGCACTAGGAAGGTAGTGAAACACTGGAATAGGTTACCCAAAGAGATTGTGGACATTCTTGGAGGTTTTTAAGATCTGGCTAGAGAAAGCCTTGGCTGGGATGACCTAATTGGGGATGGTCCTGCTTTGAGCAGAGGGTTGGACTAGATGATCTCCTGAGGTCCCTTCCAACCCAAAATTTCTATGATTCTAGTCCCTTTGGCTGTTACCTATATCCCCAAGCTTGAACACCTTAAATATCAATGACTTCCAACCCCTCCTGGAAAATGACAACCATCTTAAGGTAGCCATGGAGGACAAACCTGTTCTGGCTAGCCTGCCAACCTCAAACAGCAGCTCCAGCAGCAGACTACCTAACTCCTGTTCTCACCAAGGCCAGACCTTGCTCCAGACCCTGATGCCAGCTGTACCCTTTCATCAATGGACAGCACATCATCTTTGGATCAAATAACATGTATTAGAACACCCAAGGTTCATTCACCTGCACTTCTACCAGTGTCACATACACCATCACCTGCTTACAGTGCTTGCTGCTGTCTACATTGGACAGATGGGGTGATCCCTACATGTAAGAATAAATGCACGCCAAGGTGACATCCATTCCAGAAAGACACACAACCCATGGCACATTTTAACCTCCCAGGACATTGCATCGTTGACTTCAGAGTAGCTGTTCTTAGACAGCAACACTTTAAAAATGAACTTGAACAGAAAATTTGGGACCAAGAAATTACCCACAGACTAGATTGTGTTAGGTAAAGTCTAAACAGGGCATGAATTATTATCCTATTATCTGGATTAGCTTTTATAACTGTTTTGTTTTCATCTCTTGTACCCACCTTGCCATTTTCAATAATACCTCCTTTTTCCTCCCTTCCCTACACTTTGTACTCTTATCACTGCTTTCTGTTTGGAAGCTCTGCTTCCTTCAGTCCCTTCACAATATTTGATGAATTAAGCCACTGCTCATGAAAGTTTATGCCATACAACTCTGCCTTATTTAGTCTGTAATGTACAAATCTACCATGCCTTCTACCTATGGAAATCAGTCATTGATTGAACCTTCTGGCCATTAATGCCCACTGGCCTTCATTAAGCAACTAATGATTTCTGACAAATTATTCAACTTTATGTACAACACTGCTATCTGGCTTCATGCCATCATCAACTTGGTGTTAGTTCATTACACCATCACAAGCTGTTCAGCATAGCTTATGAAATTAGAAGAGACATTGGCAGCTAGTTCCACACCTGAGCTCAAGCACAGAAGTGGCACCAGCTAGCAGGCAATCTCATTTACATTCTTTCATCTGCATATGAATCATGGAACAAAACCAATATGAAAATATTGATACAGTGCATACCACCCCAGAAATTGTCTGATTGCCTTTCAGAGAGATCACAGCCTGGCACCAGCGCCTTCCAAGTTTATCATTTTGGGAATTTCAGTTACTATACAGATGATGCATCTAATGATCCATAACGACCATTGGTCAGTCTCAGAATGCCCTCTGGAGATGTAATGCACAGCTGGACAATTCACAGACCTATCTTCAGTCTTGGCACTAGTACCAGGAGCACAATATATTTATCTTTGCCTGGCTCCAGAGCCCTCAACTCTGGGCATAGGTGATGGCATGCAGTCTTTCCTGTTTGGAGAGGGAATCAGCTGTCTGGTCTGTCCCAAGTGAATTGAGGTCTACCAATATTCTGGAGTGCTCTGCTGTAGAAGACTGTTTGGCAGTTTGACCAGTAGACTGATTAACCACGGGGAAACAACAGTTCCCTACTGCCAACAGCCACTAGGCTCGTAACTTCTCTGTCAGTCAGCATCATCTTCCATTTTAATTCACTGATGACTTAAACAGGTTGAAGTGTGAAGGTAAGATATGACAGCACAGAGAGTATAGGTTGGGCCCAAATTCAGCTGATGGGCACAAAGATCCAGCTGTTCTGCTAATGAGATGTCATGAGGCCAATCTCAATCTCTTTTAGACAGAACTGGCATTGTTGGGAAGAGTTTTCTGGAATTGACGGGTATTCTGACATTGCCTTCCGCCATGGGCACATGAAGGCAATGTCATTGCTATGCCTGGACATTAACCTAACACTCAGAGTCAGTGAGCAGGGATATTCCCTTCTTCTTTTTGCTATAGTGTTGGATGTTTAGTAAAGTCTACTTTCTGCTATAAATTACAGGTGCTTCAAGATTTTCACACAATTTGTACTGTCTTTGCTTTTGACCACAAACATGTTTTTTGGTTAGTGACTGATTAGTGGTAAGATTGTGTTAATTAGTGGAACCATGATATCAGAGAAGGAACCCTGTGGAGGGAGAATGCACTTACAGCACAGCTGGCCAGTTCTGTCACCTAATGTATGGGGAGAGTCAAAGCTGGGGCCCCACCTTGTCCCTGGGTTTCTCCACACTTTGGGGCACCCAGAGGAAGTGACAGAGAAACCTCTTCCTCTCCTGAGTACCAAAACTGGAAGTTTGATTGCAGTATCCGGGCCAGGCAGATTTGACACCACTGCTTCACCACTAACAAGCCCTGACAATTGGAACATGTATATGCTAAGGGAAACTGACTGAAAGTAATCCTTCTGCAGAGTAAGTGCAGCTGAGCACTGACTCGCACAGTTGTCTGAAAAAATACAGTGCACATTTTCATCTATTTCATAAAAAGACCCAATTTCTGATTCATGTTTATTTGTCCAGTCCTTTTAACTGAAAGGAGATATAATTGTAACCTTTTTTTTTACCCCAGGTTCAGCTATAACAACTCAAGGTGTCCATCAGCAAACTCAGGAGAGTTTTTCTGAGAATACGTCAGGGTGGCATGGCAGATCGACAGATGGTAAACCCCCCCCCCCACTTTTAGTTGTTTGCCCATTATCCCCTTTTTAGTAAATGGCCTTGATAGCCTTTTGTCTGCTAAATTTTATATAATGTAGTACATACCTTTCAGGACTCTTATTCTGAATATTCAGATGGCTTTTCCAAAGTCACACCTCAACTCATTGTCATTACCAGAATCAGAACCCATGAATGAAATCTTGGCTGCACTGAAGTCAGTTCTATAGCTGCAACTGCTTGCCCAGGCTTTATCAGTTAGACAAGAATGCCTCACAGGCAAGTTGCTCACCTTCTCAATGTCTTAGGAAGTGGACCTGAAATCAGATTTAAACAAGATAGCTTTCATTTAATTGAATCACAGAAAATTAAGGTTGGAAGGGACCTCAGGAGGTCATCTAGTCCAACCCTGTGCTCAAAACAGGACCATCCCCAACTAGATCATCTCAGCCAAGGCTTTGTTAAGCCAGGCCTTAAAAACCTCCAAGGATGGAGATTCCACCATCTCTCTAGGTAACCTGTTCCAGTGTTTTACTATCCTTATTGTGAAAAGGTTTTTTCCTAATATCTAACCTAAACTTCCCTTGCTGCAACTTGAGACCCTTCCTTCTTCTTCTGCCGTCTGTCATCACTGAGAACAGTTTAGCTCCATCCTCTTTGAAACCATCCTTCAGGTAGTTGAAGGCTGCTGTTAAATCCCCTCTCAGTCTTCTCATCTCCAAACTAAATAAGCCCAGTTCCCACAGCCTCTTCTCAAAAGTCATGTTCCCCC